GACGAATTACAACCAGTGAAATTGAAATGGTAATCAAAACCCTCCCCAAAAACAATAGCCCAGGGCCAGATGGATCTACAAATGAATTCTACCAAACATTCAGAAACTAATTAGTGCCTATCCTTCACAAACTCTTTAAAAAAATTGAGAAGGAAGGGATAATACCAAACACTTTCTATGAAGCCAACATTATACTAATACCATACTGAACAAGGACAACGCAAAAAAAGAAAACTACAAGCCAATCTCTCCACAGAAAAACTAATTAATCAATCAGTTTAGTAAGTGGCAAGATACAAAATCAACACACAAAAATCAGTAGACTTCCTATACACAAACAATAAATCTGAAGAAGAAATCAAGAACCATCCCTTTTATTATTGAAACAAAAAAAAAAATCAAATACTTGGGAATAAACCTAACAAAAGAGGTAAAGGATCTATACAAAGAAAACTATAAAACACTATTAAAAGAAATAGAAGACACAAAGAAATGGAAAGACATCCCCTGTTCATGGATTGGAAGAATTAACATTATCAAAATGGCCATGCTGCCAAAAGCAATTTACAGATTCAGTGCTATTCCAATAAAAATTTCAATGACATTCTTCAAAGAAATAGAACAAATAATGATGAAATTCATATGGAGCCACCAAAAACCCCAACTAGCCAAAGCTCTCCTAAAAAAAAAAGGGGGGGGGGAATGGAGGCATCACACTCCCAGATTTCAAACTATACTACAAAGCCATAATAATCAAGTCTGCATGGTATTGGAACAAGAACAGACACACCAACCAATGGAACCGAATAGAAAATCCAGCAATAAACCCACAGATTTACAATCAACTAATCTTTGACAGAGAAGCAAAGAATTTGCAATGGAACAAAGAAAGTTTGTTCAATAAATGGTGCTGGGAAAGCTGGGTCGCTACATGCAAAAGAATGAAGCTTGACTACTACCTCACAAAACTAACTCAAAATGGATTAAAGAACTAGACATGAGACCTGAAACCATAAAATATATAGAAGGAAATATAGGTGAAACACTACATGAAACACTACATGACATGCACCTCAAAAACATCTTCACAGACACATCACCCAAAGCATTGATAGTGAAGGCAAAGATAAAGAGCTGAGACTACATCAAATAAATGAAAGCTTCTGTACAGCAAAAGAGACAATAATCAAAACAAAGAGAAACCCCACTGACTGGGAGAAAAATTTTGCATACAACACTAATGATAAAGGACTGATCACAAAAATCTACAAAGAGCTGAAGAGACTCAACAAAAACAAATAATCCAGTTAAAAAAATGGGCAGACAGGGCCTCCCCAGGTGGCACAGTGGTTGAGCGCTGGGTTGCGAAGCTGCCTGCAGCCTCTGCAGCGCTGGTTCAAACCCCAGCCGCTGGCGAGGGTCCCACATGGCACAACAGACCTCTCCTGCCGCGCCCGGCGCCCGCTGCTCCCCTCAGCAGTGTATTTCATCAGTCTGCCTGTTCTGCACCCCGCTCTGGCTCTGGTGAATTCTCTCACCCTCCCGCGCTTCTGACTGTACCCAGTGCTTGTATTATAAATAAATAAAATAAATCTTTAAAAAAAAAGGGGGGGGCAGATAAGCTAAAAAGAAACTTCTCCAAAGTGGAAATGCAAATGGCCAACAGGCATATGAAAAAATGTTCAACATCACTTGTAATAAGGGAAATGCAAAACTACAATGAGATACCATCTTACACCAGTGAGAATAGTACAGATTAAAAAAACTAGCAACAACAAATGTTGGTGAGGATGTGGAGAAAAAGGAACTCTCCTGCACTGCTGGTGGGAGTTCAAACTGGTCCAACCACTATGGAGAGCTGTGTGGAGATTCCTCAACCTACTAAACATAGAGCTTCCATATGATCCAGCAATTCCACTCCTAGGTATTTACCCAAAGGACACAAAAATATTAATTCAAAAGGGCACCTACACCCTGTGTTCATAACAGCACTATTTACAATAGATAAGCTATGGAAACAACCCAAATGCCCAAAAATAGATGACTGGATCAAGAAGATGTGGTACACATACACAATGGACTATTACTCAGCAATCAAAAAGATAAACTCATTCCATTTGCAGCAACATGGATGGAGTTGGAAGGGATCATGCTCAGCGAAAAAAGGCAGAAAGAAAAAGAAAAATACTGGACAATCTCACTCATAGCAGAAATTTAGAAAACCTAAATAAGGGACCAAGAAAAAGACTAATTATAATAAAGAAAAAATCAAAATCAACAAGCAACTATAAACGAGAGACACACAGGGCGGCGGAGGGGGGGGATGCGAGGAGGGATTAGGGTCAAAATAAGCAGGGTGGGAATTGTATGGGGAATACAACCAAAATGAAATCGCATACATTGTGCAAAAATGAAAAATGATGTAAGAATTATATAAAATAAAAATTTCTGACTTTAGGGGTCCATTTGATTATGTTGGGCCCACTTAAATCACCCAGGATAATCTCCCCATCTTAACATCAATGTCTTCAATTATTTCTGCAAAGTTCTTTTTGTCATATTACATAGTATATTAACAGAACCTGTAGGTTATGGCATGGACATCTTTGGGCATCAAGTCTACCTATCACAAAGGGTAAAAGTCCAAAAACAGGTAACACAATACTGAAAACAAAAATGAAGGAAGACTTGTATAACCCAAATTAAGACAATATAAAAGAGTATAAATTAAAACCATTTGGTATAGAATAAAATGGACAAGTAGATTATTAGAACAACATATAAAGCTTATAATATTTGAGCCTCTGGTGTATAACAAAGTAATAAAGATAGCATTAAAAATAATCAGGGAGATGGCAGCCTATTTATTTTACATAACTAGGAAAATTAGCTCCTTTTATGAATAGCATGTCCTAGTAAATTAAAATTGTCAAAAGCAAATTATTGAAATATGTAGAAGAAAATTTGATATAAAAGTAAAGGATTTCACATATTTAGTCTGATGAGAAAAAAAAAAGTGCTAAGAACAGAATCCCAGGAATCAACCTCTGAGATGCAGGTGAAAAAAAATCTGAAAGAAAAAAAAAGGCTGAAAAGGAGCAATCAGATGGATAGAAGGAAACAGTGTTCTGTAGGAAACAGTTTCAAAAAAGAGAAGATACCTGGCAGAAACAGCATAGAGACAGAAAGACGAAGATGGAAAAGTCACTGCTCGCTCACTTTACCACCGGTTAGGGCATCCATCATGTCATCTCGGCCTGGAGAGGAAGTAGATAATAGAAGTGGACTGGGGAGTGAGCAGCAGGAGAAGCCAGTCATGGTGTTTCCAGAGCATTGGCCATGATGAGTGAAGCAGAAGCAGGAAGAGAGGTGTTTTGTTTTTTTCCTTTTGTAAGCTTGTAGCAGTTTGAGGATATGTGCACATTTGGGAGAAAGAAGTGTCCTAGAAGGAGAAGTTGTTGTTAGAGGAGAAAAGGAAAGAAACAAGTGGACCGAGATGCTTAGGCAGTGGAGGAGAGGAACGAGATAGTACAGTGCCCTGGAAGGTTTCACTGCAGGTGGGAGAAGGGCCCCTTCCTTTGAAATGAGGCAGGCTGGTGGAGAGCAAATAGGAAAATGCATAAACTTGGTTCAATGTGTGAAGCAGGAAAACCCACTCTTCTCGGATGGCCCTATATTCGTGGGAGATAAGGCACGGAGTGAAGATGGAGATTTGGGGCAGAATTTGAGCAATGTTGAGGGGATAAGGGCCAAGAGGTGGCTGGAGGCCACTCATTTATTTGGTGGCCAGCAGTGTGAGTGTGTGTGTGTGTGTGTGTGTTTTCTAGCAGTGTTCAAGTATCATTTTAATAGTATTAAGAGAATTTGAATGGTTGACTCAAATCTCTGAGGTTTTACTAGCTGTGTGTGATAGAAAACCAAATGTGAACATTTGTTGAATGACCTTGATTTGGGATTTAATGCCTTGAAACCTATTCCCTAATCTATAAAATGTAACCAAAAACAAAACCTGTCTGGTAGGATGTTTTGAAATTAAATGAGATAATGTTCCTCAATATTTTTTACTGTGATCTTCAACAAAGGATATGTGGATTGATTGGGTCTTTACCAAAATATTTGATGACTTATATGTTTCCAAATTCAGAATGTAAGGGATCAGGGGAAAGTGTTATGGAAACTGTAACACATAATATATCATATCCCACCAGGCCTTGCAGAAGTAACCAAAATCAAGTGTTAATCTTTCTGCAGCCATATATATGAATATTCACACAAACCACAAATGAGGACTATAAATAGCCTCAACTCAGTTTCAGATCAGGTTTTGCCATCAAAGGAATCCATCTCAGAGTATGCTTCAAATATGTTTAAGATTAAGATTTTTGATTTTTCAGACTTTTCTGGCTTTGGGGGATGTGGATATGAAATTGTAGATCTAGATCTTCTCATAAAAACCCAGTACATAATAAGTGTGAGTTATTATCAGTAGTAGTAAGGGTGTATTTCCTTTTAAAATGATGGACCCAACCCACCAGAAGGATTTATTTTAAGTAGAAAAACACCATCTTATATTTGTATAATGTTTCAACTTGGCAGAATTCTGTTAGGCATATAATTGCTACTTATCTTCATAGTAACATTATCAGAAAGGAAATGAATGGTTTAACTTTCCTCTTGTTTTACTGAGAGTTCTGTCTCCATGGTTTTATGATGAACAACAAGAAACTTAAATAATGATGTCATACTTGTAAAGAAAACTTCCTTAATTTTTCCTTAGTTATTTTATGAAAAATTGATCATTTTATTGCACAAATAAACAAAAGAGATCAAGGCATTTGTCTTAAATTAAAAAACACACTATTTCTACATAGAATTTGCCCAATGGAATACATACAGCTTAGGAACAACATCCAAAGCATAGTTACTATTCAGATCTTAAAATTAATTAAAGACATGTTTTGTGAAGTCACCTCATTACTGTGTTGTGCTATATTTCCTAGTGCTCTTGGAGACATTAAAATAGCTGAAGTGAATGCCAAGGGTTTGTTTGTGAAGCTTGTTAACTCTTCCCTGGACAAAGAACTGGAGATTGGAGATCATATTCTTCAGCAAAATGTAAATGGACAAAGAGTCGCTATGTACAGATTCCTTCCAAATATCATAATGCCGGCCAATTCTACAGTGACAGTGAGTATAAGATACAAATACTATGAACTAGAGTTGTAGGTTTTTACCTGTTTAGTTTTACCTGTTCAGGTCGTGGCTCAGTGTCAGTCCATCTCTATGTGAAATGTGGCTTTTGTTGGTGGTTAATTGTGCCACTTTGTCCATCTCAGATGTAAATCCATTCCTGTAATTAAATTTCTATCATTTTCTCCAATTTTGTGTACAATGCCTTTTGTTTTTATGATTTAAATGCTAAAATACCTAAGCTACTAAAATTAAGCAAACAATCCTTAAGAGCGAAACAGATGATTAGCTTAGAGAACAGATAACTAGTGGGTGCTGAAGGGTTTTCCCTCTTTCTTGTACTTTCCTTTGAACCACATACAGTAGCTGTTGAGTTTTACATAGATTGCCATTATATATGAATATTTTATCCTAATTATACTTTTTCAAGATTTTTATTTTTATTTATTTATGCATAGAAGAACTGGGATGTAAGCCAGTGGTGGGGGGTGAGAGGATTCACCAGAGACAGTATGGGGAACAGAGCAGGCAGATATACCAAAAATACACTGCTGAGGGGAGCAACGGGGGAGATAAGAGAGGTCTGCTGCGTCGTATGTGGGTTAACTCCCTGGGTGGGGATCGAACTCAGAAGATGGCAGAAGATGGGTGATAGTGCTGAGACCCAACCCTTACACCACTAGGAATGCCCTGTTTTATCCTAATTTTAATTTATTGTGGAAATACATAACATCTATGAAAAAAACATTTTAATGTTCCAAGAACTATTAAATAGTGTGGACAAATTGTATTTAAGGCATAGCTGTGACTCTAAAGCTGCAGAGTAAAATGAGCCAATAAGCAAAACCCTATAGCCTATGGAAGATCAGCTTATTTGGTGATCCAGCTGAGTTGGCATTATATTTTATAGCTCCATCTGTGCAAAAAGCTACTTTTCAGTAATCCTCTGACATTTGCAAAAGCAAGTTGAACTCCAGTTCCTGTGTCATTAGCAGACTATATTCTTACAGGTGTGGGCAGCAGCATCTGAGGCAGAACACAAACCACCATCAAATTTTCTCTGGAAGGAACTCAACAAGTTTGGAACAAGTCCGAATTACACAACTATCCTGTGCAAACCTAATGGAGAAGTCAGTGTCCAGTTCTTAACAATCATTTTCTAAAGACTGCATAACTCTCTTATATGCCTCTTCTCCTGTAAGGCACTTAATTATGTTTCCATCCTTAAATGTCTGGGTAGGCCATGACTAAATGCCCTAATACGTCTGACAGTGTAATGAGCCGAAAGCTCCTTACAATTCGGCAAAAATCATTTTGATGTCCCATTTTCCTAAGAAGCTACTTCAAGCTTCAGAGTCAAGAGTAAATTTTTATTACAATATTTAGCATGAAGAGTAGGATAAGAAAAGGAAAATACCATATGCAGACCTCTTCTTTTCATTCTCTCATTTCTCAAATATCGATTGATAATCTTCTTCTCTATGCTAACAGCTGTACTGAGTCTCAGAAATAAAGCTTAGAGCAAGGCATGATGATATCTGAATCAAGTGGAAAGAGAGAGCCTGTAGTCTAATTTGTGATAACTATATTTCATTCACTACAAAATTAAGTATACATGAAGGAAATAACTTTGTCTAACTCCCAATACTTGGCAATTTAACTTTTTCACTCTACAACCTTTTCCTTGGTCTTGTAAGCATAAATATATATATACCCAAAGACACACCAGTATAGCACCAATGTTACAACAAAAAAAGTTACTCCTTTTTCAAACACCATTCTTGACATTTTTCTTAAATAATTCTTTTTGTCTTCCCATGACTCTTATTATGTCATGTAACTATTGATCCACACAGTATGTGTGTCAGTGTCTTTCTGAGTGCCTTTCTCACTACATTCTACCTGGTGCCAAGATCAGCTCTCCCTTTGGAGTAAGTAGACTTGTTAGTATGCTGAGTCATTTAATGTCTTTCTGCGAGAACAAGCAGTTGCCATTAGATGGGGAGAACACTCATTAGATGTAATTTTACACTTATCTTTTGATCTTCTTGTGGCCTCAAACTGAATTTTACTTCTGATCATTTTCACTAATGGAGGAAATAAGGCTATGCAATCTATGGTATTTACTTAACCTTAACAAAAAATAATTAGCGGAAACCTGATTAGAATTAAGGCATTCTTGTTTTAGATCTTTTGTCTTATGAATCCACTCACGTAGCCTGTCTTTAAACAAAATTTGGGTTTCTACTTTGTGTGCATGCTGTTCTGGGCACAGAGTATCAACCAAGGAGACCAGGTCCCTGGGCTCCTAGATATACATTTGAGTAAGTTGTCATTCCCTGCCATTGAATTAAACTTTGTTCATAGACTGTTCCTTGTACTGGGTGATTTGAACTGTTTTGACATATAGGATCAGGCAATTTCTGTGATATAAACACAAATAATAGTGTTTGCTGGTAAATGAACCTGATAGATTAATTCATATGGGAAATATCACATATATGTAGTATCTGCAAGCATTGTGCTAGGTGCTGAATTAAAGAGCATAACTATTGGATGGTTCCTGTCCCCAGGAAACTCAGACTAGACATTGATGTGTAACAAAAAGTAATTGCAGGCCTCCCTGGTGGCTCAGCGGTTGAGCGCTGGGTTGTGAAGCTGCCCGCAGCCTCTGTAGCGCCGGTTCGATCCCCGGCTGCTCCCCGGCCCCCAGAGGAGGGTCCCACATGGCGTGCACACCTCTCCTGCTGCCCGCTGCTCCCCTCAGCAGTGTACTTCGGTCCTTCTGCCTGCTCTGCTCCCCGCTCTGGCTCTGGTGGGTTCTCTCACCCTCCTGTGCTTCTGACTGTACCCAGTGCTTGTGTAGAGAAATAAATAAACAAACAAATAAATAAATAAATCTTTTTTTTTAAAAAAGTAATTGCATTACAGAGAAACAATGCTTTACTAGAAATGTGTGTACAAAACATGGCCATCCAGATTAGAGACATCAGTTCTGAAAATAGAACTCAAGAAAAGCATCAGAATGGAGATGCTTATTTTGAGTCTACAGATTAAAAGGGAATTCACCCAGTTCATTTGAGCCCTAGTGGTCTTTCCTTTTCCTCCTCACCAAACTCACCCCACCAACTCACTGTACTTACCTTCTCTTTCTTCTTTCATTGTCCCCTCTCTCCCTCCCTCTTCTCTCTCTCTCTCTCTCTCTCTCTCTCTCTCTCTCTCTCTCTTTCTCTCTCTCCCCCCTTCTCCTTTTTGCTATTCTCACATCAATGAAAACTGCACCTCATTATCGGTGATTGCCAGCTTTTCATTCACAGTTTGCTACATTCCCATAGACATGCTGAAATACAGACAGACCGGAGATTTCATCATAATCCTGGAATTGATTTCTATGTATCTATCTTGTATAGAGAAAATAACCCACATCTGTGGGCAAGATTATAGATCCTACAATCTTCTGCCTAAAACAATAAACAATTATTAGAATAGGTACTGCTTCTGGACTTGATTTATTTTAAAGATGTGGCAAAGAGAAGTGAAATTATGGGTCAATGAAAAAAAGTCCAAAATAAAGGAGTGCAAGCTACTTCTTGAATAATCACTAATGTGGTCATGGTTAATATATATAGCCACAAGTCTTAATGGGGTAATGTAAACATAGATTTAGTCCTGCCATGCATTAATTGTGTAATATTTCATCTATTTTCTAATGCATAACATAAGAAATTGTACAATATTTTTAGTAAAATTCTATAAATTTTTAAAAAAGGATAGGTTTTTTTTTCACCAGTCACATTGTTATCCTATATTTATAGCCTCTCCATTTAGTAAGACAGGCAGACCGAAATATAGAGAGTAGATGAATATAGATATATAGAGAGAAACATATATGCATAAAGTAATAGACATCTTACATTCATTCAATGCCTTGTACTTCCCCAGGACACTGTTTTACACTAGAGCTTCCCACGATGGAAGAAACCATTCCTCAGTTGCAGGAATTTTTTGCTGGGCTGTTTACGGGTACATGATCTCATCTGATCTTCAGAATTGTTTAAATGTCTTATGAAGGAGGACGGCAGGGCTTGGAAAATTAAATGACTTCTTTGGGGCCACACATTTAGTAAAATAGCAGGTATTTGACTTTCCAGAATTTTTCTAATGTAATATAAGTAGCCTGTAAGATTCTTGTGACCAACATTCCAGAGGAGAATTAAAGCTATGCCATCTTATTTTATCACATTATTATTGTTGTCATCGAATATAGTTGAGTCCCTACAATACAGAGAGAAATATTGCAGTTGTGTGGGAAAGCCTTATAGTCTAATTGAGGAAGATTGCACTAAAGAGTATAATCACAAACATATCTTAACCCACATGTCACTTAGAGCTGCTAAAAGAACCCAATTCCTATCATGAACTGAAGTAAAAGTGGGACCTTCTTGCGTGGCCCATGAAATTAAAATTTTTTAAAGATTTCATCTTTCTGATCTGCTGTAGCTATAGCCTAGCTGACTGGCCTTGCATTGCCTTTACTGTGTCATGGCAAGCACAGGGATTTTCAATGGTTACAACATAAAACCCCACACCTCTGTCTTCATAAACTAAAATCTGATCACAAGAACAAGTAGGATATTAGATTATACTTTGTCACTTAATTTTCTCATGTTCAATGAAATTTTGTTGTCAGCCCCTGTGCATGATTTTCCTAAATAATTTCTGCATGTATATGTTGTGCATGTCCCACATAGTCAGGAAACCCAAACAAACTCCAACAATTAGTGTCCATAGGTCTCCTTAAGACTCCCACCTAAGAGTGTAGCTGGAGAATGTAGTTTTACTGTCGATTTTTCCATTTCAAATTGGATGGATGGTTGGATGGATAGATATATAGTAGATATGTGCATATGCACACATTTTCATATAGTGTTTTATTTTATTTTTTTTTATCTTAAATTTTATTTTTATATTCCCCCATACAATTGCAAACGCCCCATTCTGACCCCAATCCTTCCCCTCCCGCCCCCCACCCCCAAAAAGTGTCTCTGGTTCATAGTTTTTTGTTGATTTTGATTTTCACTTTCTTATATTCATTTTCCTGGTCCCTTATTTAAGTTTTCTAGATTCCTGCTATGAGTGAGACCATCCGGTATTTTTCTTTTTCTTTTTGGCTTATTTCGCTGAGCATGATCCCTTCCAGCGCCATCCATGTTGCTGCAAATTGCATGTGTTTATCTTTTTTGAAAGCTGAGTAATATTCCATGGTATATATGTACCACATCTTCTTGATCCAGTCATCTACTTTTGGGCATTTGGGTTGTTTCCAAAGCTTAGCTATTGTAAACAGTGCTGCTATAAACATAGGGGTGCAGGTGCTCTTTGGATCATATAGTGTTTTATATATATCTACTTAATATATAACATATGTGTTAAATATATTTTTATATTTGTATATATTTAAATTTTTAACTGTATATTATTATTTCTTTAGAATTATTCCTTTATTGTAAGATTTCTAGTTATTTTTGCATAGAAGAATTGGGGTGCAGGCCAGAGTTATGCATAGGGGGGGTGGTGAGAGGATTCACTAGAGACAGAGTGGGGAGCAAAACAGACAGATCTGCTGAAATACACTGCTGAGGGGAGCAGCCGGTGAGGCAGAAGAGGTCTGCTGCGCCATGTGGGTCAACTCCCTTGCCGGGGATTGAACTCATGCCGTTGCAGTGGTAATGCTGAGACTTAACCCCTAGGCCACCAGGGAGGCCCTAAAATTTTAACTGTATATTATAAATATATATAAATATATTTGTAATATATATAAAATGTATATTATATATTTATTTATGTATTAAATATATTTATTTTTATATATTTAAATTTTTAACTGTATTTTATTTTATAGCTACCTTTGCACATTTCTTTTTTCTTAGTAAATTCTTACATAGGTAACATTGATTTCCAACATTATGTAACTTGGCCTCTGTATGCGCTATGTCATGATCACCAGCAAAACTCTAGTTGCCATCCATCACCATGCAAGCACCATGCAGTTCAATGACGTTCTTGACCAGTGTCACTCCCCCCCCTACCCCTTAACCTCTGGCAATCACCGCTCTGTTCTCTCTAAGCATATGTTGTTGTTTTGTTTTGCTTATTTTTTTCTTTGTATGTCACATATGAGTGAACTCATAAAGTATTTGTCTCCTCTGACTTATTTGACTTATTTCACTGAGCATCATTCCCTCCAGTTTCATCTATGTTACGAATGGCGGGATTTCATCTTTATTCATAGCTGAGTCTTCTATTATATATCAACCGTCTTCTTTATCCAGTCATCCATCGAAGTGTCCTTAGGTTGTTTCCACATCTTGGCTATTATAAATAATGCTATGATAAGCACTGGGGATGCATAAATCTTTTTTAATTAGTGTTTTTGTATTCTGTGGATAAATACCACAAGTGGAATTGCTGGATAATATGGCATTTTTATTGTTAATGTTTTTGGGGTCTCTATACTATTTTTTGTAGTGCCTGCACAAATTTACATTCCCTAGAAGGATTGCCTTTTCTCCACACCCTGACAATATTTGTCTTTTTAATAAAGGTCCTTTTTGGAGGTATAAGGTTAAAGTTCATTGTGGTTTTGATTTGCATTTCCTAATAATTAGAAATGATGAACGTCTTTTCACAGACTGTAGGCCTCCTGTATGTCTTCTGCACAGCCTTCTATTTAGCTTGACCCAACCTCACGACACCCTCATATAACAATACCATTTCCCCACTTCTCATATGGGGACACATATGAGGTTATACCTCATATAACAATACCATTTATAACAATACCTCATATAACAATACCTCATATATAACAATACCATTTATAACAATACCTCATATAACAATACCATTTCCCCGCTTCTCATATGGGGACCTGCCTGAGGTTATGCAGCTTATAATCTTCAGAATTAGAAACTCACTACATCCCCATTGCATGTTTCATTACTCCGCTCACCTACTGTGAGTGGAATAATGACATTAAAAAAAACTCTAGCTTTAATAGTGTTTGATATTAATGAATCTTTTTTTTAGGCTGTTGCCTGGTATACTCCTATTCACTGGAAGCAAACGTGGGAGAAATTAGAGACTGACATTGAATTTGAGAGATGCTCAAGAGTAAGTCTAATATCTCAAAGGCAAATGTTTCATTGGCCAACAGCTACAAAGACAACCTCTGAAGGAGAGCAAGATAAATCTACGAAAGACACTGAAAACTTTGAAATGGAACCAATTAAATCTTTTCTTAAGAGGTAAATTTTGCTTTTTTTTTTTAATTCGAGCCCTTCTCACAATTAATACTGAGCCGATGGGAATGACCTACTGACCATAAGATATATAATGAAGAGGTAAATTAATAGTGACCAAGAAAATCCCATTTCAAATAAGACCATAAAAAGCATAATAGTTTTTATGTTTTATCACAAAACAGAACAAGCAGAGAGTTACTCAAGGGCCATTAAATCACTGGGCATATGGAGACCTGTCTGGCCATTTCACTTCTCCGTAGCTCTGCTGTTAAAGGCAAGACTGTGGAGAGGTGGAAAGATGAGGTTCTGGCCACAACTTTAGCAGAGCCTAGGTGGAGGGGGAGGCAATCATCTAGGGATTTCATCTTGGAGAGGAGTGCAGAGCCTAAGGTATTCAACTGTGGGCAAATGCTGCTGATGTTGTAGCAGTGCTGCCCACCGGGATTAGAGAAGCCATAGTCTCTGGTTTTGAAACATGCTTTCACTTTAATTGAATCTTCATTACTAATACCACTGCATAAAGTGCCTTTTGGGTTCAATTTGGATTTCATTTTTCTTTTACAGAGAAAAGGAAATCCCGCCAACACTGTTCCCCACTCGCAGTCCTTGGTGTTGCAGTCCTGAAGTCCCTGCACATCCTTACTGCACTTTAATTGAATCTCCCAATGCCAGGTTGGCTGGCTCTAATAGACAGGCCCAGCCTCAGTCAGCCAGGCCTGACCCCACCCAGGTAAGTCAAAGGTATACTTATTCCAGTGGAGTATAGGTGGTAAAATTCACAAAGTAATGAAATCTATTCTTACCGTGACTGTTCTAAAGCAAGTATGTGAAGCATTCACTTAAATTTGTGCTAGCATTGTCTTCTGTTCTTGATAAAAGTCTGTTTAATGAACGGAAGATTCTAAAGAACAGCATGGCCAGCAAGAGTAGGTTTCTTCAAGTTTAGTCAAGAGTACTTTTTGGTTTTCATTACATGGGAAAAATTGGTCCCACAAGTTATGCTGTGATAAATGTTATCCATCTTTTGTGGTATATATACACAATGGAATATTATTCAGCAATCAAAAAAGATAAACTCATGCCATTCGCAGCAACGTGGATGGAGCTAGCAGGAATTATGCTCAGTGAAATAAGTCAGAAGGAAAAAGAAAAATATCGGATGGATTCACTTATAGCAGGAATATAGGGGAGCTAAATAAGACATCAGTGTAAAAAAATATTAACAGTACAAAACACAACAAAGCAAAAATGGACAATTATAAATCAGACATATACTGCAGGGGTGGAGGAGGGAGAGGGATCAGAGGGAGGGAGGGAGGAGCACAGGGGACTGAGGTGATGGTGCACGGGTGCATTGGTGAAGGAAATTCTATGGGGGCTACCCTGAGGGGGGGAAAGCAAATATTGTTCAAAATATGAACAATGATGTAAAAAATAAATATTAATTTAAAAATCATACCAATAATATCACGGAAGAGGCAAACATGAAGAATCAGTTTCTAGCCCTAATATTGTTACCCTTCCTATGGACTGATTCCCAGCACCTGCCTTGTTTTCTCCAACCTTTATTATCTAATAAATAATTTTAAATTAAATAAATAAATAAAAGTTACCCATCTTTTCCAAATACACTTTAATATTAACCTCAAATTTTACTTTTATTCAAACAGAAGTTTATCTTTGTTTTAAATAGTTTATTTTTGCTTTAGATAAAGTTTATTTTTGCTTTGGATAAAGCTTTTAGGGTTGATGTTATTATCCTAGGATCTGTGAATAGATTTCATGAAATCCATGAACTTACTAAATTTGGTGCAGAAATCTATTCTTCATATGTTTCTAGAGAGACAGTTCATGAGATTCAAATTCATCATAATTCCCTGAGGTTTAAATACAGCTGATTAGAACACAATGTCAGGTTCTCAGCTTTGGAAAAGCCCCGTGCATACGGCAACTGCATCCTAAAGTTATAATGGTTCTCAAAGTTTTATTTAGCAAAGGTAATGCTTTTTAATATGGAATCTTTGGCAGAATCCCAATATATCAAATAGCTGAAAGCAGACCTGTCCAAGTGAAAGAGGAGGGGTCCTTCTCCGGTCCTTCTCCTCCCTTCTTTCCCCACCCCCCACCCTTTCCCTTGGCATCTGGGGCACCTTGTAGAAACCACAGAGTTCTGTATGAAAACTGCTGTGTTAGTGTGCTAACAGATCATTGAAACAGCCTCCCCAAATATCTTATACATAGTGGGATGATGGATATTTTATTAATTTCTTAATATATTCTACTTGATAAAATTAAATACCACATCTTAGTACCTGAGTTTCTTCATTTGTATGGTAAGAGATCTTAGTCTGAAATTTAAAGGCCCTTTCAGCCAAATATTTATTTTATAATGTATAAATACCCGTACTATATTACTTAGGTTTGAGACTCTCAAGAAGTACATTAGTTATGTTTTCTACAATTAACAATCGCCCACTGTAGCCATTCTATGCAACTTGTTTTCCAGAGAAATTTTCTTTCAAATTTTCTTGATGCTCTGTTCTATAGTGGTGGCAACTCTCCTGGATTATTCAATAGCCTTTGTAATTCAACACAAAACTTTTCACTGCATGTTCTGTTCTGTAATGGTAATTAAAAAGATACCTTTAGGGCCTCTGCTCACTATTATATACCTTTTAAAGTTTTCATTCATTAAATTTTCAACGTGAATAGATAAGCATGCAAATTGTAAGAGCTTTTTTTTTTAAGATTTTTTTTATTTATTTATACAAAAACTGAGGTACAGGCCAGAGGCCAAGGAGGGTGAGAGAATTCACCAGAGACAGAGTGGGGACCAGAACCAGCAGAACAACTGAAAACACTGCTGAGGGGAACAGCAGGCAACACAGGGAGGTCTGCCGCGCCATGTGGGCATCTACCTGGCCGGCCGGGAATCCAACCCATGCTACAGAGGCTGTGGACAGCTTCACAGCGCTGCACTCAACCCGCTGCACCACCAGGGAGGCCCTGTAAGAGCGTTTCTTTAAGTTGTGGATAATGTCCACTAAGAGACAGGTGTTAGACCTCGCTGGTTAATGATTGACTGCATAACAGCAATCTCTGTATCACCCATTAATTTCCTTGGAAAAGCATTTAGCATAATTTTTTCAAGGGATTTGTTAACTATCCTCTGAATCTGCCTACCTTTGAACTGTTTTCTAGCATTAGCACACTCCTCAATGAATGCAAGGAAAAAAGAAATAAAGCAAAAATTTCTCCATTTTGTCCACAGGTTTTTCAGTCCTGCTCCATTCCCCTAAACTAATAAATAGGCTCCTTTTATTTAAGCAGAACGAGAAAGGGTCTTAGTTGTGTATCTGGGAAGAGTTGACTTGTTTTTAACTAGGCCTCTCAAATACATTGTAGAGGAACTACAGACTTAACAATGAAGGTAATTGTAAAGAAACATCTATGCATCATATGCCTAAGTCATGCTAAGCCCAATTTGTTTTGTGAAATATGTCAAAACACAGAAAGTATAGTGGATAAAAAGTACCCTGTGCTAATTATGCAGGAGTCCTGCAAGTAAATGTTTTATCCTATTACTTCACATTACCAAGAAACCTCCAAACATTTCAAATCTTTGATTTATTTTTCCTGTTCTGATATGAAATTGAAATAAATAGTTCTTTATTTTATACTTTAATTACATATATGTATACCTATAAAGTACATATAGTATAACTGGTGTATTTTTAATTTACATAAATAGCACCCTGCTAAATATGCTTGCTTTTTTTGACTTTCAATAGGATAATTGGGGGAATTTAACTATGACAATTCAGTCTCTAGGACTATTATATGGTATTTCATTACACAATTTACCATGTTTTATTTGTCATTCCCCTGTAATGATTTGCTCCACAGCATTATATTTTACCCAAGTGCCAGAGTTTCTTGGCAGTTTATAACAAACCTCTAAAATCTAAAATTCCTACATGTTTGCTCCGTTGTGTAACACATGAATCTTTATTAGATTTTGCCAGTTGCTTTAGAGAAGATTTTACTAATTCATATTCACACTACCTTTGGAAAAGACTTTGTGTTTTCTGTATTCTCATTTAACTTTACGATCAGAATTTTTAATTATTTGTCAAGCTGATGGATGTTAACTAGTGCTCACTATGGTTTTAATGGAAGGTTCCTTTTAAGTCAGATTTTCTATGTTTTCATACATTAAAAGGTAAGTTAAAAAAGGAAATTTTCTTTATTTTCTTTATTTCATGATAATACATTTATTTGTTTTTAAATTGTGTGTGTGTGTTTAATGCATTTGGGATTTACTTTTGTGTTGTGTGGAATGCAGACCTAATGTTTTTCTATATGGAAAGCCATTTGTTGCAATACCAAATACAGTTTATTTGCACACCGATTTTTGTAAATCAAATCTCACTCCCTCCACATGTTTGAGTCTGGGTCTGTGCTTTCTGGAATTTTCTGTTCTGGCTCTTAAGCAATAATGATGTTCAGATTGTTATTTATATATACTAATTCTTTGCTTTCTTGCACTTCATTATCACATGGGTTTTTTTTTTTTTTTTCAGTATCAGGTGGTTTTTCTTAAACTTTTTCTCCTCTACACAACAATAGGCTTGTAAAGTATAAAATAGAATAACAATGCTATTTTTAATTTGATTGAAAGGACAAGGATTTTACAGATTCAAGAGAAAGTTCAGACCTTTACAATATTGAATCATGATATATAAATTCATTTGTCCACTCACATTTCTTTCATGTCTTTTGATGTTCTATAAGTTTTTTTCCATGATATTCTTGCATATCTTTTGTTAGATTTTTCACCCAGGTAGGTTTTTCATATTGATATTTTGAGAATAGTTTTTCTTTCTATCAATTTTTATATTTTTTATGTTGATCTTGTTTCAGCAAAGTTTCTGAATTTTCTACCATAAAATAAGTATTCACAGTGACTAAGAACCCACATGAGTCACAGTACTAGTTCCAGAAACACAAGAACAATCAAAATATTCTCCCTCGGGCCTCCCCTGAGCCACCAGGGTTGAGCGCAGCTCTGTGAAGCTGTCTGCAGCCTCTGCAGCACCTGTTTGATACCGGCCGGCCCGGAGAGGGTCCCACATGGAGTGGCAGACCTCTCCTGTCTTGCCAGCTGCACCCCTCAGCAGTGTGTTTCGTCAGTCTGCCTGTTCTGTTCTCCGCTGTGTCTCTGGTGAATCCTTTCACCCTCCCACGCCTCTGGCCTGTACTCTGATTCTTGTATAAATAAATAAATAAATATTTAAAAACAAACAAACAAAAACATTCTCCCTCTAAGGGGAAGACAATAGCAAAGCAACCAAAAATTAGTAGGAATCGTGACTTTCAAATTTTTTTTTAAAGATTTATTTATTTATTTTTATAAGCACAGGGTACAGTCAGAAGCACGGGAGGGTGAGAATTCACCAGAGCCAGAGCGGGGTGCAGAACAGGCAGACTGACACTACACTGCTGAGGGGAGTGCTGAGGGGAGCAGCGGGCGGCAGGAGAGGTCTGCACGCGATGCGGGACCCTCCTCCAGTGGCCGGGGAGCAGCTGGGGATCAAACTGGCGCTGCAGAGGCTGCGGGCAGCTTCGCAACCCAGCGCTCAACCACTGTGCCACCGGGGAGGCCCTGAAGGAGCGTTATTGTGGTTGACAGAGAGTGGGAAAAAGCAGTCTGAGTAGAAGAAACAGCAT